AGATGGTTCTACTCCTTCATTGGAGTCCAGCTGTGTTTAATTAAACTGATTGGACTTGATTAGGAAAGGCACACACCTGTCTATATAAGACCTTACAGCTCACAGTGCATGTCAGAGCAAATGAGAATCATGAGGTCGAAGGAACTGCCCAAGGAGCTCAGAGACAGAATTGTGGCAAGGCACAGATCTGGCCAAGGTTACAAAAGAATTTCAGCAGCACTCAAGGTTCCTAAGAGCACAGTGGCCTCCATAATCCTTAAATGGAAGAAGTTTGGGACGACCAGAACTCTTCCTAGACCTGGCCGTCCAGCCAAACTGAGCAATCGTGGAAGAAGAGCCTTGGTGAGAGAGGTAAAGAAGAACCCGAAGATCACTGTGGCTGAGCTCCAGAGATGCAGTAGGGAGATGGGAGAAAGTTCCACAAAGTCAACCATCACTGCAGCCCTCCACCAGTCGGGGCTTTATGGCAGAGTGGCCTGACGGAAGCCTCTCCTCAGTGCAAGACATATGAAAGCCCGCATAGAGTTTGCCAAAAAACACATGAAGGACTCCCAGACTATGAGAAATAAGATTCTCTGGTCTGATGAGACCAAGATTGAACTTTTTGGCATTAATTCTAAGCGGTATGTGTGGAGAAAACCAGGCACTGCTCATCACCTGCCCAATACAATCCCAACAGTGAAACATGGTGGTGGCAGCATCATGCTATGGGGGTGTTTTTCAGCTGCAGGGACAGGACGACTGGTTGCAATTGAAGGAAAGATGAATGCGGCCAAGTACAGAGATATCCTGGAAGAAAACCTCTTCCAGAGTGCTCTGGACCTCAGACTGGACCGAAGGTTCACCTTCCAACAAGACAATGACCCTAAGCACACAGCTAAAATAACAAAGGAGTGGCTTCGGAACAACTCTGACCATTCTTGACTGGCCCAGCCAGAGCCCTGACCTAAACCCAATTGAGCATCTCTGGAGAGACCTGAAAATGGCTGTCCACCAACGTTCACCATCCAACCTGACGGAACTGGAGAGGATCTGCAAGGAAGAATGGCAGAGGATCCCCAAATCCAGGTGTGAAAAACTTGTTGCATCATTCCCAAGAACACTCATGGCTGTACTAGCTCAAAAGGGTGCTTCTACTCAATACTGAGCAAAGGGTCTGAATACTTATGACCATGTGATATTTCAGTTTTTCTTTTTTGATAAATTTGCAAAGATTTCTACATTTGTTTTTTTCTGTCAAGATGGGGTGCTGAGTGTACATTAATGAGAAATAAAATGAACTTTTTTAATTTTAGCAAATGGCTGCAATGAAACAAAGTGAAAAATTTAAAGGGGTCTGAATACTTTCCGTACCCACTGTATATTCAAGAAGTCTAGTAGTAGTAATGTCTCTGTGTAGCCAACAACTGTCAAATCAAATAAAGAAAGTACACATCAATTATATTTTAACAATTATTATTTTCAGTTTTCAAATTTAACTGGATGGATTATAAATAATACATAAATAAATGTTCTTCTCATTTCAAGTACAATAAGAGCTGGATCAAAGAATATCTGACATAACAGAAAGCTTTTGAAAAATGTGCATCTTTAAATAAAGTAATTCATTTTAGAAAAATGAATTTCACTGAATTGTCCTGCAGCTTTAACTTCAGTTCATTCAGGTGTGAAGTGATGTCAATAAAAAAGCCACAATATTATATTTTTCTCATCTAAAAAGAGAAATCAGTGCGCATGGACTTTGTCTGTGGTTATTAAACCACTTGTTTCAGCTCTATCCTCTCTGTTATTGTCTATCCTCTCTGTCATTGTTGGTCAGTGAACTAACATGTTAGGATTCTGATAATTTTGGGCTCTTAGGTTTATTTTCTGTGTCTTCATTTCAGATGTGAGTGGGTATATTTGTTCAAACGAGTTGTGCTTTGTCTCGTAGTGAACTTCATTTACCGCTTTTATCAATAGTTACGGTTTCTGGACATATGAGACATGTTGGTTCTAACTTCCTGTGGGAAGAATTAATGCTTATAAATTCTGTTCTCTCTGAACACGTTTCTCTTTTTGGAGAACGTCATGTGAGATAACTTCTCTGATCAGCGCAATATTCCTGCTCTTCTTTCTCTTTCCTCGTCTCTCCCCCGTGTGTCACGTACATCTCATCTCACTCGAATCAGGAAACTTGTCAGAATACCCATATTTGATTGGCTGAGCTGCATCACGTGATGTGATTTCAAAATGATCTATCGGTTTGAGATCCTGGGTCCGGATGCAACTGCGTCTGGGTCCGGTTCTGGACCGCGATCCGCCAGTTGGGGACCCCTGGCTTCGATCAACACAAAGATTGATCTCGGTATCTGCAAAAATAACCGCTCGCATTGGGGACCAAAAATACCTGGAGAGGGACATTCCTGATTAAACAGTTCACTAAATCTGCCCCCCCCCCACACTGTCTCAAACACGAATAACTCATGCTGTCAAACTCACTGTTACCATTCATCATCTCTTGATACAATATCAGGACCTCTCCTATCTCGATACGGAAAACTTTCGGGAAAATAAGGTTACACAGTTCCCAGCTGTAACAGTACAAGTCAGAGAACAGTAATTACAGTTCCTCATTAAAGCATTATCTCCCTAGATAATTCCCAGAATGCATCGTAAAAACAAAAGCAGCGTGGCCGTTTCCTCATGACGTGCACTGACAAGAAGTGACGTCACTACACTCAGATTTAGGTTCAAGTTATCGAGCATGGAGCATAAACTGAGCCGTGTTAATGATTGATCATCACCTTATCTCACTGTCCTCGTACGAACTGTATCAAGCCTCTGTGAAATGGGAATGGCCTTTCATGGATGCAGCAAGAAAGAGCTTGTGAAGTGAATCCTTTTATTTTCACCACACCACATCCTATCTTTCTTGACTTGTTGACGACGATGCACTCTTCTGAGCTGTGCCATCACTGGCCCTCCTATGCAGCCTGTAATCCCATTCACTGAGCCATGATTTACCTCCTCACTGAACTAGAGCGTATCCCATCGTGTCTGCAATGGAACACACTGCAGTCGCTCTCACACACTCCACCTGCTGACTTTCTGAACCGCTCACGGTATCGGCACAAACAGAATGAGCCACAGACAGACAGCTTCTGGAGAGCAGCACAGGACGGGCTGCATCCACACTTAAAGAGACAATCAAACAGACAAAGAAGACATGACAGGCCATAAACTAAAACTTAGAGGCTTCATTATAAGTTCACACTGGGCAAACACCACAGACAGGGACATTGATACATCAATCAATTGCGTGTGTGAAAAATATGGTTTCAATTGTTAGCCTGAAGGAGTGGCAAGCTAGTGCTCGGGCCAGTTTCAACTAAAAGTCGTGTTGAATGGTAACAATTAGCATACTGCTTGTACAATGTCAAACCCGACACCTGTAGGAACACAATAAATGATTTATTGTAAAGTATAGGCCAAAATGCACCACGACCTCACTGTAGTTTGCTATTAGCCGTCTGGATTCCCATAGTGTTTACATTGTGGGCATGATGATAACATATATAGTAGTAACTCTAGTTAAAGCCAATATCACTACCTGGTGAACAGACTCAACTTGATCATACATTGTAATAATATAGACTAACGTTAAACGTTGTTAAACTGACTCATTATTACAAGATATAAAATTGACCTGTCACGTGATATTCTCTCTTGCGATGAGGAAAAGACGCCAAACTAAAAAGCGTTGAATTAAAAAGTCGACACATATATGAATACATAGACACTTGGTAGAACGTGGTTAAAGAGACAACACCCCCCCCTCCGCTGTGTATAAACTGCTGTTCATGGCGCTCATATCCGCTAAATCCAGACTTGTTTTTTGATCCTGTTCTCGTTCGTAATATGTATCAGTCACGTGCTTTCAGCTATGTATCGCTTGCCTTTGAAAAGGAACATCGAAAATTCTTTTGAATTGGAGGTATAGCTCGCGCGCTGGTGTCATTTTGGGCTTGTTATAGGACACTGAACTGAAAACTGTCTTAACTGAAGTCGTACTAAGTTATGATTGACACTGAACCTTACTGAGCTTATCTCTAACAACGCGAAGCCCCTCCCGAGCATTGGTCCGTGGATATCCCGTGTCGGCTCGTCACGGTTAGCTTGACAGTCTAATGAATGTGCTGCAGCTAGCTTGTGTACTTCTGCTTTACCCGGTGTCGCTGGTAGTGTAGTGCGGTCTGTCTCGCACCGTGGTCGAGTTGAGGAGCGTGCCATCTCTGGGTTTCTGCCGGCAGCTCTTCAAATTCACGTCGATGAAAAGCACACTGGTCGTTAGCGGGCTGCGTAACAGTGGACATTTTACAGCTGGTCCACTGACGGTAACTTTAAAACATGCGAGTAGAGTGATCGATAGCACGCAGTCCCAATGTCCGCCCCTGAGCGACGCGCCGCGCGTTCCCGATACATCCGCGAGAGCTCAACACCATCCAATCGCAGAGCCGCAGCGCCAGCAGTTCTGTACGTGTCAGCACGCGCCACCTACAGGTAGTAACACTACTGACGTGACACTTGTTTGAATGATGTACATCCATCTCCATGAAGTAGGAGACATACAGCAGATATGCTCACAAGTCAATTTTTGCAAGTCCAAGTCAGGTCTCTTCTGGTTGTAATGTTTACCATTTTTTTGGGTAAAAGAGTTACAGCTCTCTGTCAATCAGTTGTATCTGTCTTTTTAATGTAAAACGTGTGCTTTAAATGGATTGTTCTTCCACTGGCAGGTAGTCCATTAGAATGTCACAACGGAGCATGCCACTCCGCCGTATTAACAATAAATAATAAAATAAGTGATGGTGTTAGCAGGGATGTCCTAAGAAGCAGCCTTGATGCTTGGGAGGGGCCTTAGGGGAAAGGGTTAAAGGAACCGAGGCTCAGCACCCTCAACATACCAATATGATCACGTGGCATGTATGAGAATGCCACTATTTAGCATGTGGTCAATTTAACTACAGGATACTAAGGTTCTTTTTTGAAACTAAAACATTGTCTTTACAGATGAATGCAGTAATAACAAATGATTGATATATAAAATACTGTTACACTGAAAGGGTCATTTTTTTGCATAATATGTACTTTTAGCACGTTTAGCTCATAACACCTCAGTACTTTTACTTAAATAAATAAATAAAATGATGATGAATGCTCAAGTATAATGCTCATTAGGAAACACTCTGAAGGGTGCATAGTGGGATCAAATTGTCCTCAAGGCCCAAAAAAAGGCTTGGGCTTGACCTGATGTTGTGATTTGTTCTTCTGACAGTGAGGCGTGGGATTACACTCCGCTTGTAAATAGTGTAATCCCAGCTAATCTAGGATTCAGTTTCACTCTGCACGGTGGACACAAACCTCAGACTGGAGAGGACTGGGAATATGGAGTTACAAAGTGCCTGTCTGGGTATATGGTTTGACTGATGAAGGATGTATCTGCTGGTCGTGGTTCACATTTTGCAGTCCCATCTGTTGGCGGTCCAGTCCTGTCCAGCTCCGTGTGCCTGCACGTACGGGGAGAGTGGAATAGCAGCGCTCAGGTCGAGTCAGCCTGATTTCATTCTCATCTCTGTGTATTTATGTGTGTGCAAGTTATTTTTTTATGCCAAAACACAACTCATTACCGCGCATTGCATTTTAATAATTGAAATATTGAAGCTCTAAGAAACCAAAACAGTAATGCAAATCCAACACTTGCTATATTTGGTGATAGGACACATTTGGCTATAAGTAAATATTTAGTCACTGAATGGTATCCCATATTGCAAAAGAAAGGTGTATAACATTAGTTTACATTGTTTGGATATTGAATAACATAATAGAGGGTGGCAGTAATGTTGTTCCAACCAAATTTAGTAGAGGTTAACAAAACCTTGTATCATTCTGTCAATGTAAAATGTTATCGAGCAATTAAAAAAATAGATTAATTTGTTCATCAAAGAATAAGAAAATAGTTCTCAATTTCATTGTAATTTAATAATAAAGACGTACATTTCTATAAATAATGTAATAAATAAATTATTAATTATTAACTTTCCATACTTTTCAATAATTGACATATACATGCAAATCCCATAAATATAAATTAATTATCTACGTTTTTTAGTTAAAGGAGCTGTATACAGAATTCAGAGCAAATCTCTGATTGAGGGATTGCCTCCACGCGGCTCTCAACATGGCTATGAGAGCAGTGCACGGCCGTACCCACTAAGTACAGCAGAGAAGCTCGGATAACAACACACAGGGGGAGAGTGACTTCACTCTCTGCTCAGGTAGACATTACTCCTCTATATCTTTCCATAGATAGTTGTTATTTGATGCTGTATTAATGCTCTGATTGTCGTGTAAAGAACACATACAAAGTTTTTACTAGAGGGAACAACTGACAGCAGTAATTTCAATTTGATTACCTTTGTATAGCACCATATCATACAAAAGCAGTTCAGTGTTTTACATAAAAACTAAATAAAACAGCAAAAAATTACAAATATACAGAGTCCATCCAAACATACAGATAGAAATACATGTTCACACATTTATACAAGCATTCTGTACAAATGTGGTGTGTCCAATCTAAGAAAATACTCAAGTGAAAAGTCAAGTTTTTAGTTTGGTTTGAACAGAACACAGTGTTTGAGCAAGTCTAAGTTCAGCAGGTAGACTGTTCCATTGGTTAGGTGCATAAATACTGAAAGCCATCTCAGCGGACTTAGAAAGTGCTCTGGACACACTGAGGAGTTTTCCACCGTGTGTTTGGAGAGATCTGCTACAAACTCCCAGCGTGCCTGAGAGGCCTACTGTGGAGCCAGACCAGCCAAAGCTCTGTACACCAAGAAGAGGATTTTGAATTGTAATCTGTAAAACAACAGGTAACCAATAAAGGTTTCAGAGGGCTGGAGTTATACGGTCGGATGTTTTTGTCCTGGTCAGAACTCGTGCTGAGTTGTAGATTGTGTTGTTTGGAAGCCTGCTCATAACAAACACATGCATGAGTTTTATGCAAAGAAGTCCTCTGATTCTGAAAATAGTGATGTGGTTTAAAAGTATGGAGCCCAGAGAGAGCCACTGGAATAATTATACTATTACAGCATTTTATTATAATCAATTAAAACATTGTTCAATTCAAAAAAAGAAATCACGCAATTAATTAAAAAAGGGTAACTTTTACTTTTTGATACGGTTTCCTGCTTTAAAAATAAAGAGTCCAGACAGAGTCCAACCCACAGCTGGAGTTCTTACCACACACTCCTGGCTCAATATAAAAGGAGGAATATGATTAGGAGCAAATGTAGATAAATGCAGTTTTTTTAAAATCAATCAAAGGTTTTTTGGAGAAAATGTATTTTCAGGTAGGAAATGCATTAATCATGTTTGTAAGGCCTCACATACATGCACACACTTTGGTCAGAAAAGTGACAAACACAGATCTGTGTTTGTTTAATATAAAACATCCTCATAGTAGTTATAATGAATCTATCATAAGTAGCTAAGAAAAAGCATCAGACTAGCAAAATGGTGTGTGAGCATAATCTGTGTCATCTTCACAGAATACAAAGCAAGAACATAATCAAATAGTGTGAAGGAGTGCACTCAGAAAACACGTCTTTGTATTTATCTGTCCAAACTTACAGGTTTGTGTTTCACCTCGCAGGTCGGTGCAGTGCAGTGACCCAGGAATCTCAGCTGTTCCCATAAACGTCCCAGCTGATACGGTCAAACTGCGTCTAGAAAAGACCCCGATCTCCAGGGTGCCCCGGGCAGCCTTTTACAACCTGTCGGAGCTGCGTTTCCTGTGGCTGACCTACAACTCCATCAAAACCATCCACCCCAGCAGCTTTGTCAACCTGAAGGCCCTGCGCGAGTTGCGCCTGGATGGAAACCTCCTGACATCCTTCCCCTGGGAGGGGCTCAGGGACATGCCCCGCCTCCAGACGCTGGGTCTCCACAACAACCGACTGTCAAGCCTTCCTGCCCACGCAGCTCTTTTTCTACCCAACATCACCTACCTCGACCTGTCCAGCAACAGGTGTGTCCAGACACCATGGAGCCGTGGAGCCTATGATGTAGAGAGATACAGAGCTGTCGGTAGAATTTAATAAGTATGTTCAACTTTTCTCTCCTCTCCTCAGGCTGACTATATTACCTGTTGAGCTGCTGGACCTTTGGTTTCCTCTACCAGGACAACAGGAAGAATCAGTACAAAGAAGAATTTTGGGTACATTATGTTTTGGAGCAATAGAGACACATTATATTTTAATGCTGTCTGAAGCAGCTACACTTGATTTACATCAGCAAAGACATGAAGACGCCAATGTGTCAATTTCTCTCTGTGAATTGAGGGGTTGAAGAGTTGCTAATAGAGATAATAGGTTTACCTATCCATGTTAGCTAAGGTTAGCTAAGGTTAGCTTACCTGCATTCTAGGATGGCAGAGTGGGGTAATAGGGTATTGTGAGCTCCTTAAGATATGATGGTGCCAAACCATTTAGGGCTTCGTAGGTGAGGAGAGTTCAGGTTTTTGACTCGGCAAGTCAAGCATACGAGATGGTGTGCAGTTAAACAGGTGACAACACCATTAATATGCAGTTCAAACTGGACATGGATGGAAATTACTTCTTCTACAAGACAAGAGTGTTTTTCCCTCCATTATAATACACTATAAGAAGCGTTGGCTAATAGGTACCATCAGATGGTGTTGTGTTTCACCCAACACATTTTCACTCCCAACTCCTCAAATAGCGCTTCTTGGTCAGTGGCTCTACGCTTTAAGCTATGGCGCTCTAGGTAACCTTCTATAGCAACACAAGTACTTGGTTAGGTTTCGGGAAAGATCTTGGTTTGGAGTTTTTTTTAGCTATGCAACTGGTATTAGTAAAGTACGGAAGTTACGTATAAAAAACGTAAGCACAATAACTCAATGTTGACTTGTTTTCACACGGGACACAAACAGCAGCCTCTTGGGTGAAAGTCCTGTGTTTGTTTGTTTGACACTTCCAGTTATTAGAGAAAACTCTAGTTACTATTTTACTACCAAATCACTTATGTTATTGTACAGTGTGATTGTATACAGCGGCAGTGATGACAGTTAACTCACATACTCTATTGATTGAACTATCTCCAGGGGTCTATGATGGTTCATGATCAGTACCCTGATGTCTGTAGTCAAACAAACACAGGACTTTTACTTAGGGGACCGGCGTTCGTGTTCGTTATGTCTCGTGTTGCTACCTCACTATGTCCGTAGCTTAAGTTCTTAACAAGCGTACTCATTTTAAGCCAAAGCATGATGTTTTTTCTAACCCTTACCAAGTGTGGTTTTGTTGCCTAAACGCCACGCGTGAACCCTCTGCGTCAAGATACTACGCAAAAAGATCTTCCCAAGCGGAAAGTTTTATGAGAAGGGATAAGATCACAATAAGCTCCTATCTTCTGCGAGCCAAATCCCTCCAAGTAGTAGAAATAAACTCTACATATTAATAATCAACGGATAAAAAACAAGGTGAAACCTCTTTCCCACCACAAATGTCAAAGAACACCACAACTAAACAATATGGAAAAAATTAAAACAATGTTTTCCATCCAATTTATGACACAAACATGACAATTCTGTAAATAAGTAAATTTCTTCTGAATATCCATGCAGGTCTCCATGACAACCCCTGGTTGTGTGACTGCCAGATCTCCACGGTGATGTCCTTGTCCACGTCCCTGGGGAGTCCTGTTGTCCTCATGGACCAGCTGCTGATATGTCGCGGGTCTCCGGGTCAGTTAGGGATGCTGCTGACCCAGACCGAGCTGTCCCGCTGTATGAGGCCTTCTGTCCAGCCTGCGGCCACCAGGGTCGTCTCTCCACTGGGCAGCAACGTCATCCTCCGCTGTGACGCCACCGGCTACCCAACACCGACCCTGACCTGGATCAAAACCTCGGCCAACACTGGTGAGCTATCCGGGGTCACTCTCAGCTGATGAAGTGGTGTGACTTAGATCTGAATATCATGTCATGTCATGTTGTGATTTGGTTTTTCTTTGCAGATTGTTGCAAACAAGATATCCCTGAGAACTCTGACCAGCTACCTAGGAATTTGGAGAGTTGTAAGTGGTCCTTGTTTCTTTTAAGATTTACATTTATACTATCTTCCATCCAGGGTGGGCCATGGTGCTCTATGGGTTAGACTATAAATCAAAACCAGTAATATTAAACCACATCTCATCTCAGGTGTCATTTTCGTACACAAGCTCTACTGTGAAAACTGGATGCAACTAAACACAATTTACAGCTGATGGGAAGTTGTTGCAGGAGAAAACAAAACTCATACTCCTTTCCCGACACAGGCAATACTGCTGAAATTATTTGTTTTACGTCTAAGGCTTTGGCTCTCAAACATTTTTTCCAATAGTGGACCCACTTTGAAAATATTCTTTCAGCTGAGAATCGTTTGTGATATCTACAATCTCTCTTTGGGGATGAATGTGGAGTAAAAAATGTACGGAAATATTAGCAACAGTTAGAAGGGCCAGAGGGGGTCCAATATTACGGAGTACTGGCTACCCAACACCCTTGCCCTACCTTAGAACCGCCATTGAGTAGATGCACTATGCCCGCTTGAGAGCAAAACTGTTTCTTCGGATCTTGGGTTGAGTTCAGGGCTCCAATTGGGACTACCACTTGGATTTAGCTAGGTCTGTGTAAATCTCTAAGCTGTACTTAGAGGGAAAAGACTGGTAAAGTGTACTGAGAGCTAAGATTGAACGTTTTTCATGTTCCAGTTATGCAGCAATCTCCTCGAGTGGGCGTTCGCTGGTCGATAATCATCTTGAACGGGTTGTCATATGAGGATGCTGGCGAATATCGCTGCCAGGCACGGAACATGGCAGGGATATCTGAAGCCCCCATCAAACTGAGGGTGGTGGGAGTCTCGAGACTATCCCGTCTTCCAAAAAAGAAGTCCCAAAAGACTCCACCCAAATCATCATCAAAATACAGGAAGCCGAACCAGACTCCTACCAATGCCCCCTCAGTGAAGGACAATCAGATACTCCAAAACGTTACCCTACCTTCCATTAACAAGACCCAGACGGCTCCCAGTCTTTCGCCAAAAGTATTCTCCATAGACAAGTACATTAAAAGGCGCAAAATGAACTTAACAGATGCGAAGACCCCGAGATATGTCAAGTCTTTACCTGAGCCCCCAGACAACTCTACAACTGCTCTATTGACAGAGACACTTGGATGAGATACACTGAAGTTGGTCTGGATCCGTCACTTGGTTGAAGTATAGAAAATAAAGCGTAATCATTTGTGAACTTCTAGTTTTAGTGCTCCTTTTTTGGGTCATTCTGCACTGCACAATAATGCATCAATTTGTTGATGAGGTATCCTGTAAATTTAACTTGTTCGTAAGAACAAAATGTGACACAGGATGTCTGTGATGTCTATAGTTTTCTAAAAGGATGTTTTGAAACCTGGAGTTTGGGTTTACAGCAGAGGTCTGAAATTACCAGCCTGCGGTCAGATCCAACCCGCAGGATAAAGCCCCCTTTGTTTTTTATTTGAGTCATTTATCTTTAACCCAGGTCCCAGAAAATATGTTAGCATTGTATGTTTCTACAAATCTCAGAACCAAAAACACTTCATGTCAGCCTTGTATCGCGCTTGCCGAAGCGCACAGTGCCACATGGTGAACGTTGTAAGAAGAGAGCAACCTGGCCCCTCATGTAATTTGACTTTTACCCCTGTTACTGCTTCCCACCATTACACCCACTACTCGAGCCAGAAAGTTTTTCCATTTCCTTCTACAATTCATGAGTTCCCATCTGAATGGAACATGACCAGTAGGTGAAACCAGCAGATACAATATGTCACTGGGCCTTACGGCAGCTATACTGTTCATACTCTACATACATACATATAACATGTAAGAAATAAATATATACAGAAAATCTTAAATAAATGTAACCAAAAAATAAATATTTAATTCAAAAGTGTGTTTTTCATGTAAAGCTTTTGGCCAACAATGCATTAGAGAAAGAGCTCCAAATGTTCAAGACTTGCTCTACATTCACCCATAAATGAACCACATTTGAATTTCACTGTGAGGGAACTGGAAAGCTCCAGCCTTACTAAGATGAAAAAACACACATATGCACATGTAGGGAGGTTATTTTAAGGAACTCCGACTAAACACACTCTCCTTGAGGTCTTCTTCTGGGCGTGTTTTCATGGAGCACACGCCTAAGAATGCAGCTGCAGGACTCCAGTTGATGTCAATGACCTTGTTAGGTTAAACCAAGTCGTCAAGGAAAAGAGAGGGGAGTGGGTTGAGGGTTCTTGTTAAGTTCGCTTGTATTTGGTAATTCTTCAGCTTATTGTCAATTTTCTTTCTTTTGTATTAGGAAAACACTCATTTATATTTTGTATATGGTGATATTAGTAGTGTTAGGTTGCAAATATATTACTTTAGTTTACTGTGGGAGTGTTTATATGCCCTTCACTGTGTAATGGTGCTGGTAGGCCATAGGTATTTACATGCCAGGTGTTGTTTCACATTTCTCCATCACGGTTTACACCTCAATCCGCCAGCTTAAATCCTATTTGTAAGGATTCACCCCCATCCAAATCTTAGAGCTCAAACAGGTGGCCACTGGTATGTGTGTGTCAGCAAATAGCATTTACGTATGTTCAGTTGGGTTTACACAGAGTACCACATGGTTGATGAAATGAATGGTGAAGCCAATGCAGAAGTGCCTTACACCTGCATTATTACTAATGGCCAGCAGAGGGCGACTCCTGGTTGCAAAGAGAAGTCTAATTGTATCAAAAGTCTATGCCCGCTACACAGTATGTTGTTAATTCTTCTAAATATCAGCTCCTGCCAGCGCTATTTGAAAGCTGTAACATTAACGTTAGGGGCCGTTCACACTCTCCTGCTGTGACCTCCACAGAGCCTGTGTCAGCGCTGGAGGGGACGAGCTCATCACTTGCCTCTTAACGAATCATGAATGCATCATATAATAAATAAATAAAAGTAGCTAAATGAATGTATCCAAATGTAACAGTACTGTACTGGCTAGATCGTCACTGTCCGTATGATGCAAGTACTTTGGTTGAATAGAGGTCAGATATACAGTCTTTTGTGTAAGTATCAAAGTTGTCAACCAGTTTTATGAATAATTCGTTTTTTCTATATGGAACTTTTTTGGATTATAGCCAAGATTTATACTCAATGCTCAATGTGAACAAGCTGCCCTTCCTGTCACAATCAGGCTTTGCCTTGGGTGTTTTGTGTGTGGTTTTCTGTAGCTCCTCACTTCCTTCACCTGTCCTTAATCAGTTCATTCAGTGCATCTGCCAGTCACACTCTCCCTCATCAGCACAACTCTCCTCATCTGTTCTAGTCACTATTTAAACCCCTGTCTTTCACTCACTGCCAGATCATTGTTTTGTTTCCTACCTACCTGCCCGGTTTCCCCTTCCTGTTCCCTTGTTTCCCAGTCTGTTGGCCCTGTTTTTGTCCTGCCTTGTCCTGCCGGATTTCCCCCCTTGTTTCGTCCTTGGATTACCTGTTTTTGTTTCGTCACTGTCTGCATTTGAGTCCTCATTATGTCCCGTGACACTTCCTTGAGAGAAGTGTCACAAATTGGTCACATTGACATGGTGACCATTTTCACCAAGCAGCAAGTGAGCATGAAAACCTTACCACTCATACGTATGTCTGTCCTGTTGTTGTTTGTCTACTAATGTAAGATACAGAGGAATCTAATATTCAAGGAGTCAAGGCCTTCTATTATTATCTTAACGCTATTGATGCATCCCTATATATGTTCAGGTTTTATAGTATACCTTGCACAACGGCTACATGTAATTTACGACACGTATAAGCACACCCCTGCCTTTCTTGCTTTTCTTTTGTGTCTTAATGTGAGAGTTGATTGTCTCTCATGCAGATTTCTCGTGAAGGTCAAGGATGAAGGAGCCATAACATTTCTGAGTATCTTATCTCTCTCGTAAAAAATACCACAAAGATACAACATGAGGAAGAAGCTTAGGGTGAGAATGGTTGCATATTAAGCTGCTCTGCCGGGATCACATTGACCCGTAAGCTCCTGTAGAAACCACTAGATATTTAGTATCGCCCCCTGGTGGCTGCAAGATTCAACCGTTGGAGAGAACCAACAACATATTGACAATTGCTATTTTTAAAGCCTTAATCTGACTTTAGTATTTCCCTTTTTTATCAACATGAAAAGTGTGTCCTGAGGGTGGCACTCAAGGACTCCTTAAAATCAGAAGGGACAGCATGAATGTCATTGACCACCAGCCAATTCGATTATTTAAAAAAAAGAGAAATTACAGGAAAAGCCTGAGTGGAGAAACATAATGAATGCAGATGCTTTCATACAGGTTAGCAGATGTCACTGAAAGGTGATGAGTGTGACAATAGTACGAATCATATGCCGTGACCACGATTTTTGCCGGTTTGTACCAGCCCACCACTCCACAGGGGACAATAATATAATTACCTAACCTTTAAACAAAAACTAAAGAGATTGCTTAAAGCAAACCAAACCTAAAATCACGAGTATTCATACTACTTCTAATGGTATAAAAAACAAGTAAACCGTAAAAAAAAAAAAAAAAAAAATGCTAAACATACAATATAATCTACAAATACTATATACAATTATTGCACATGTGAGGTAGGAAATATGAAGTGTTTATATTGCACAGAGTATTTATATTGTACATACATACATTAATATTGATAGGGATTTTGCACATGAATGAATACATACACTCATTGTTTTTAGAAATCTGCTCTTTGTAATGTATTCATGTATTTTATTATATTGTATAGTATTGTATTGTATTGTGCTGTACAGTGTTGTACTGTAATGTTTTCTATTGAATACTGATAATATTAGGCAACTAAATTGTAATAACCTGTAGGGGGACTACAGACAAAATTTGCTCTCTTGCTAAGTCTGGCACATTGAGGTGAAAATTGAAATGTTGATTAACGTGCACTGTCCCTGGTAAATAAATAAAGAATAATGATTGTTGAGATGAAGGATACAATGGTGCTGCTGAGATATTTTTTTTAATCCATGTTGTTGTGAAATCCTTCCTCATACAGTAGTTTTATAAATGTAAAGTGTTTTGGCATATGAGGAAGCTTCAGAGCCATAAATCGATTCCTCAAACCACCAGCATTTCTGGGTTCTATATTTCATCATCTCACATTACGCTTTTCTCTGTGTATGTGCATTTTCAGTTTGTCCATAAACAACCTGATCGGACAGACAAAACCTCCACTCAAGCTTCTACCCGAGGGACAAAAACATCACATCTCTGTGTAAAGTGACGAGGAGACTATCACCTTTCTCGAATGAACAAACATGAATATCATAATTACCAGCAGTAACAGAGACACAGAGTGCGAGTCAGCCAGGTGTTTAAGTTTCTGCCTGTGGACAGAGCTTGTCAGGACACTTTACAGACGTGTAGTTGAGATCAAAATGAAGGTTGAGGTTGAAGTTGGACGTGGTTTGTGCAAGAGAGGTGAAAGGGTCTTCCAGTCACCGCTGTGTCAAGTGTTGAAGCAGTGTTGAGCCGACTTGTTGGACAGACAACTGACCACCTACATGACCATTATCATCACCATCATCATCCTCAGGCTCTGTTGCTAATGAAACAAGAACAAAAAAAGAACATTTCTACAGTTAATCCTACTACCGTGTTTTGCTTCTCTGTTCACACGTCACTCTGTTACAATCGCTATTATGTTGCCCAAAGAGCAAACGCAATAGGAAGTGCGGTCCTATTGGTGTACCCACTGTCAGCAGGACAGATTACTCTACAAACAACTTACTTGGAAATTTAAATCACTCTGTCAGGGATTCACAGCAAACCCACACAATCAAATGTTGGTTGCAGGCACTGACTTCATGTTCTATTTACATGCGTACACACAGAGAGAGCAACATGTAGCATTTCTGAAGCACAACACACACACACAAAGTTGAACTTTAGCTCTTCATTTACAGGCAGATTGTAGATGTTTAACAGGAGGAGGCGTTTCGGCAGCACTGAGGACAGAATAAATCTCTACCTCAGCGTGATTCCTGTGACAGATTTCTTTTTCTCTCCTCGCTTCCTCTTTCTTCCCTCCACCCCCTCAGCACCACAGAGGCGAGCTTTGGATCCGCTCACGCGGCTAATCTAAATACTGCGAGAGCCCACAGCATGCAGCTCTAATTTCAGGTCAGCTTAAGAACCAGGAGAAAGTGGTGTTTTTTAGTGAAGTTTGGAAGTCACCATGGTCGAAAGCCTGGAGATGGAGAAGCAACAGAAGCGTTACTGCATCCGCACTAAGCATGTCATCATCATCTGTGTGACGGTGGTGTGCTCATTCGCGGTGGGCCTCGGGGTGGGCCTCTCCGGGTCGGGCACCACATCTCCCAGTACCTCAACACCAGCCCCCACGGTAGTGCCCTGTGCGCCTTCCACTGACTCCAGCGGTGAATGGAGGAATTTCCGTCTGCCCAGCTACGTGAACCCGGTCCACTACGACCTGCACCTGGAGCCGGACCTGGTGGAGGACACCTACGCGGGCACCGTGGAAGTCCATGTGGAGGTCAGCAAGCCCACACGTCATCTGTGGCTCCACATCAGGGAGACGTTTGTCAGCACCCAGCCCAGGCTGAGGATGCTGAGTAGCCAGGCGGGCCAGAGGGAGGTGGCAGTGAGGGGCTGCTTCGAATACGTTCCCCAGCAGTACGTGGTGGTGGAGGCCACGGAGGAGCTGCCTGCCACCAGCCCAGGAGAGGTGTACGTGATAAGCCTGGACTTCCGGGGCTGGCTCAACGCCTCGGTGGTGGGGTTCTACAGGGTCGTCTACACCGAGGACGGGGTCACCAAGTAAGTCAGTAAACAACA